CACTTGAGGGTTGTAGTCTTATGGCAATTCAGGTAAGGACCGCGAAGTGTCCAGGGAGTGAAAAAGAACCTTTGTCAACCACGGGATAGGGGGATTATGAATAACCCGGGGGGTGGGGGGGGGGGGGGGGCCTATAAATATCTGCGGGGCTGGAGGGGAGGGCCCTGTGACTTTGGGGGGAGGGGAGCCTGTGACTCAGGGGGAGGGGCCAAATGAACGTGATGCGGCAAGGGTTGGGCAAAGAGAGCGAAAATGCGTCCAAAAAGGGCCTGTTTCGGTCGGGGCTGCGGTTGACACCGGAGAGATAAAAAATTTCACGGGCGAAGGACAAGCAATTATTTTGCAGAGGCGATTGGGCTTTGCTGGGATTGTTCGGTTGGTAGTCAATGACCAGACTGTGCGCCAATGTCTTCAGCTCCGTTTAGCTGGTAGAAAACTTCGGCCGTAGCGGACTTGATATTACAGAGCGCTACAGAAAGAACCAGGTAGTAGGGTGTACGGAGTACAAGGGCACCAAACCTTCGCGAAGCAAATGCCAGCCCTGGACCACTCAGGGGGGCACAGGTAAGAAGAAAACGCCGCTAGATCTCGGGTATCGGGCTGATATACTATGTATGTATGTATGTACATGAACAATAACGGTTGAGCATCAATGAATGTGGTGTACTGCGTAGAAGAAGTTCAAACGGTGTTCGGCCGGATTAAGTAGTGAACTAACTACTAATTAACTAATTTACTAGTTAAAACATCTCAGCCCTGAGAAGCGACATCCATCCTGAATGAAGTGTGTAGCCTTTACACACACACACACACACACACACACACACACACTATTCCCCCAAGCCATAAGTGATAAATCTAACCCCAGGTCTATGGCAGTACTACGAGGAAGCCCTGGCTGAGTCCCGTACATGGAAGAAAGACTGAACGAAGCTTTAGGCAGTGGAGGTTGGAACTTTCAACAGCTCTCTTAATCACGTGCCACACTATATATAGTAGCTTCAGTTGATTGGCTGGTTCACACGCGCAACAAAATGACGACCGCATGGGCTTAGTCATACTCATCGCTCCATATTTAGCTATTTTCATTCTTTTTTTGTGCTCTCCCGTCGAACAAAAAGGCAGCCTGCGGATACTATTCCAGTAGTTTGAACCACGTAACTATGTCTCAGACTGCTCAGTCTTTTATATGCTCTGTAAAAGACTTTTGCAGTTCTGCGAGATGAATTACCAGCAAGTTTGAGGGGCCGTTTTCCACCTACGTAATCATTCTCACGAGTGATTTGTGTGTAGATGCAAATGAGTTCATCTCCATAGAAAGACTGGAACATATGTTACCTTCTTACGATCAATCATTATTATTAGCGGTGTAACGCGCGATTCTCTTGTCTTTGGGTAACACTTCTCAAATTGGTGCTAGATGTATACACTACAGCCCTTATAAGCAATGAAACATAATATGCAAAAAGCTATAGTCGAATGAACGAATGTTTCCCTCCAAATCTCATGGTTAAGAAGACGCACAAGATGTCCTGGTGATGATGGTGAACGCGGCATCACCATCATCATCATCATCTCCTCCTCCTCCTCCTCCTCCTCCTCCTCCTCCTCAATCACCTCAACTTCCATTGACCCTTTTCGTTCACGGCCCCATTGATAGGAACGTGGGTAATAATTTGCCTAGACCACCCATCCGGAGCTATTACTGTCTCCTCCAAAAGACGATACCTCCCGACCCAAGGGAATAATACTGCCCAGAAAATCCAGTATATCATCCCAACCGCAAAGATCCCAAGGCCAACAACGCAATGAATATAATAGGGCAGGTGCGCGTAGACATTGTGCTCCTTATCTGGTGGTGGAAGATATGGTGCAACTACAAGGAAAATGTTGGAAACCAGGAAGAAAAAGGTAATTGGTCGGCCGGCTCGTATGGTCGGAGCCCAGTCAGGGTAGCGTGACGGAAACATGTAGATATGTATCAAACCAGCAGTGACGAATACGTTCACAACCGAAAGCGGATAGGAAATCAAGCTGTCGGGTTGGCCAATAGTCAGACACAAGACAATACTAAACGGAGGGGCCCAAACTGACTTGAGCAAGAAATTATATGCATCTCCCGGGGGTGGAGCAAGCATTACTACGGCAGATATGACATAATGCTCGAAAAGCCCTGCTGCGGGCGAATTACACGGTCGATTGCTTGCCCAGAACTTCGAAAATGGCAAAACTCCTTCCCGGCCCAGTTCTTGGATAACTATTGCTCAATTAACTTTCAAGATCTGAGGGAGGCGGAATCTCTCTCTTCAGGAGGAATGGGCTGTCCTGTACTGACCTCTACCTTGGGAAAAGAGAACAGACTGGACGTTCCCAAACGCACACAATGCCACAAAAACTGATAGAACCCGCTCTGCCTTGGGACCAAATACGTTTCGAAAAAAGGAGGCCGCAAGAATACGGCCTGAACCCAGAATCTCCTTCTTCGGGACAGCGGCAAAATATGCGACATTGACAAGCATGTACAGAACGCCGGCAAGGCCAACGCCTATGGGCGCCGCGATTTTCAATGTTCTAGCTGGATTTTTTGTCTCGCTCAATGACTGCAGTATGTAAGCAACAGATAGTAAAAGCCAGAAACAACAAGAATATGAGAACCTACATAATTTGCATTCGAGTAACCAATGTATGACCATATCACGCTGTACAGAGCCGTGACAATCCCATATACACTTGGTATACTCCCCTCAAAAGGCCGAGAAAAGTTATCAGGCTTCTCAATAGTTAAATGGCCAGTGAGAGCCACAGCTCCTCCAATAACAATAATGAGGACAATAAGGAACTTGACGGCTCCAAAGAAATTCTGCATGCGTAAACCCCATTTGACGGCAGTTGCGTGTATGACAAAGGCCAAGGTAATGCACGCAAGGCCTATACCTCTTTGATTCCACCTATTTACTTCAACGTTCGCCGCATGAAGGACATACTCGCCAAAGGCAATGCTGTTGCCTGCTGCCCAGCCTAGAAAAAAGGCATAAGAAGCGAACATCGCAGTCACCAGAAATCTCGGTTTCGTGTAAACGTATTCCAGGTAATTCTTTTCTCCCCCGTTTCTTCCAGGCGTTAATACCGAGAAATACCATTCAAGATAGATATACAGCGTCTTGCAAAGGGAAAAATTGGTCAATACCTTGGGATTGTAGTTCCAAACTCCAGATATACAGCTGTTCCAGTCATGGCAATCAGCATACCCACAGTCCATACCACCAAAGACAGCCCGACACTACCCGTGAGCGCCAAAATCGCGCTAGGTGTTGCAAAGATGCCCGTTCCGATGATCCTATTAAAGATCAAAAAGGCAGCGCTGATGACTCCTATCTGCCTCCGGTTTTCGGGGCATTGCTCCATCACGCTTGTCCCGACTGTATACGACACATATATAAAGAAAATTCAGTAACGATTCAAAAGCCCAGATGTGCCATCGAACATGGGGAGATAACAAAAGAAACGCAGATATTCTCACACGGATCTGCAGTAGGTCCCGAACTCCCTGAGCTCCGCTTGACCATGCCTTCACGGCTTCCATCATGCCTCGAACTGTCCGGAGATGACTGCGCAACTATTGAAGAATTCAATTTGCACAATGGAGGCCCAATTTCCGGTACCTGCGACATTCGCACCTAGTAAAATGAACCAGGGGTTTGAATGGGCAAAAAAACGTTGGCGACGTCGGCAACCAACACCTTGTCAAAAGCAAGATACAAAATCTATATCTATATCTGGGATACCAGCAGAAAAGGAATATCAAATGTAGGTATGCAATTAGTTCAAGCTTAGGAATGATTGCGTTCTGGTGTAATGAGAAAAGTGTACGTATGTCAGGATGATGCTGGGCAAAGTAATAAAACAAAACATCTAAAACAAAGGATAGTGTGTCGATAAAAGTAGAAGAGAGCGCAAGCATAGCGGAAAGCAGGCGCATCGGACAAACTCCATCAAGACGGAGCTGGAAGGTGTGGAAGGTGAGAGTCCCTGGAGCCCACTGGAACTGGCAACTGGCAACTGGCAATCAGCAACTGCGAAGATTTTCAGACACGAACTCCCATTGCAGAGGACTAGTGTAATTGATAGTATTCGACATACGGAACAGTGTCTAGAGCACACTGCTCTATCAGAGCGAGTTAAGAACACGTAAACCCGAGTCCTTTATGGAAGCATGATCTTCTAAGGAAGCCAGTTGCTGCAACTGAAATAACATGGATTGCCTTAATACCCAGTTAAATAGACCATGGCCTTCTCGGTTCTGGGTACAAGTGAGAATCATTTTTCCATTCTGGAAGAAAGAAACTGTCGTATCTTCACGTTGGCGTTGGAGGTTGACTAGGCTGGGAAGTCCAAAATATGCTTAAACGTCTAGGGTAGCTAGGTAGGACAAGCGGGCGCTAGAGATAAGCTTAATTAGACGACATCACCACGGTTATTTTAGTTGGCTTAGCGAGCCCAGTAACGGGAGACTCAGAGAAGAGAGCACACATCTCCATATATTAAGGGGCCAGTACTGTCAATCCTTCATTAATATCATTCCACCATCGAGCGTGTACATACTTGTATATGCTAAGGGCCTAAAACATATCCAAGGGAAAACTACACCAGCTTGATAGCACATAACTCGTCAGATAACCCCCGAGCAACCTCCCCATTCATGGCACCATGCACATATGCTTCCCCTATCATCAAGAACGAGGAACTACTTGTTTTCCTTAATGCAAAAGCCGCTCCAGCCCCTGGCAACACCCATATTTCATCACCTGCCTGCATCGACTGCGGCCCAAGGCCCAGGAACCTCTTGGAAGTGACAAACACGCGACGCTTCCCATATCTAGAACGCACAGACTGATAAAAGTCCCCACACTCCTCCGGTAGCACTACCGTACTGTGTTTTTCGTACGCTTCCCAGTTCATGGCCGTATTGTAGCATTCTTCAGCTTGTTCGAGTGTGGGAGTAAAAGGGGACGATTCTGTGGCCGCAAAACATTGCAGTTTAAAGAGATAGTAGATTAAGTTCCGATGTTGGGGTTCGCTCAGGTTTCGACCTGGTTCAGAGAAGTCGAATTCAATGTCTTCTGCTGTCATGTCTGACATTGGAGGCGTTGACCATATATTTCTCACGCGAGCAATTGCGGCGCTCAGACTTGGAGGGAGGCTTGAATTGCTAACTGCTCTTTTGGCTTCATTATGGGCTATAATTGATACCATCACGCATAGCGCCTTGCGGAAAGCTTCCCCGTAACTACCAGGTGCGGGAATGTCTCCTTTGACATGTTGATCACCACATATTGTGCGCCAGAGAACCTCCGTTCTGCTTTGGCCATTATGGTATTTGACCGGGAGAAGCAGGAGCAGCTCAAGCCAGCGGGGATCAAAAATCATATATTGATCACTAGGTCTGTGTGTGGTGTTTCCCATATCCAGCACCGTATCTATTTTAACCCCGGACACTTCCAGCACATCCCACGCTGTAGAATTGAAAGGATAGACAGGAAGGTCGCCAGCAGCATTATATACTGCACACATCATATTCGTATAACCCATGCTATAGTCGGGAACCCACGAGGGAAGAGTTGTAATGTTTCGAAGAGAGCAATTCAACGGCAGCGGAGAGCATCCGTAATTCCCCAGATTGCTGCATAATCGTCTTAGTTGCTTCTGCGTATACCTCTTCTACAGACTTGTGATAGTCCGGCTGCCATTTACCCTTGTCGACTATATTGAGCAGTCCATAGAGACCGAAAATCTTATCTCGAGGATCAGTTGCGCGGAAAGTCCATGTATCAAAAACTAGACTTTCAAAGGAAAGCTCCTTCGGCTCCGCTGCCTTGTCCCCTTTCTCAAATCTCTCCCTCCACTGCACCAGAGAGACTGCCTGGCTCTCAATACCGACAACCGCATCCTGCCTGTTGATGTATTCCACCGATGTGATACGGGCGAGTCGTAGTTGTCTGAAATACACAACCTGTGCAACTCTGCAGAACATCCTCCAAGGTAATTCATGCTTGCCACAGTATCCAAGAATGGTCCCGGAGAGCACATTTTCCTGCACTACCCAAAGCCGTCGAAAGTAATTCCGAAGGAAAATAGCTGCGAGAGCAGTCCATTCCTCTGCAGAGATAAATGGGATGCCCTCTTTCTCATATAGATCTTTACCCTCATTGGTATAAGGCATGATCTTGCTATCCTGAAAATCAACAGGAGCAGAGCCGATCTTCGAGACAGCTTTCACAGCTGCCTCAGTATACTGGTCTTCAGCCCCTAGCCACACCAGAGTATACCGTGCCTTCTGATAAATTTGATCCATCATAGCAACTTGCGTAGCCCGTTCTTCGAGATCCTCCTGGTTAATACAAATTTGATCAACCCACATCCAGACTTGCGGGCCATCCGGAAGCTCCAATGGAGTCAACAGATTCTCCCGTTCCCCACAAGCTTCCAAAACCCTCACAATTTCACCATGCCCATTCTCCCTTGCATAATCCACCGCCATTTTCCCTTCCCCATCCACAATCACCGCATCAGCCCCTGCCTTCATCAGAATCTCAACAACCCCCATCCTCCCATACTCCGCTGCAAAACTTAACCCTGATCTCCCCAAGCCATCCAAAAGATTAACATCAACACTCTCTCCGCCCGCCAAAACTGACAGAAGGAAATCCTCATCGCCCGAAATCCCAACCCAGTGTAGCGGGGCATGAGCTTTCTGCTTCTTCGTGTTGCCGCGATTGCAATTTCTAGCCCATGCATCTGATGGCACGGTGCTCAATGCATCAAACAAGTTCCTGCTCACGTATTGCAGCTTGCCATCAAGGTGGATGACACATTTACCTTTCTCGTAGTCGTATTTGGTGAATATTTGCGCATCGTCATATTTAGGACGGAAGTATTCGTTATCCACGGGAAGTGGGTTTCCCCACGTATATGACAGAGCATGGTACCATGGGTTGGCCATTAGGTCAACCGTTTTAAGACTACAGGTTATCCGGGGAATATCTGAGCCATGTGAAAATGATTTTGAGTCGACGCGAAGGAGACGAATTGATGTTGAGGTCACAAGTGGTGTGTATTTGTAGGGTTCAGTGGGCTCAGACAGATCCATTCTGCTCTAACATAAGCTCATCATACGGTGTTTCCATAAACTGTATATTATGATTCAATTTTCATACGATAGTGAAGTAAATCATTTTCACTATTTTCCGAACTCGTAGATCGCTCAAGCCGAACATGGCTTAGCTGCTGCATAAACTGTGCACAATATTAGGGCCAGCTTACTAGCAGCGGATTTATTGGGAGTTTTAGAAGAATCAATTTTCCTCCACGGACAGGAAGAAGCCAGTTTCAGAACATTTCCCTGCGAACTCGCTGCCTTCTACACTCCCGAACAACTAAAAAGTTCATTTCAATCATCGCTGGTCATTAGATATCATTTCTTAAGTAACTAAATATATGTGGATTTATATGAGAACCCATAGCAGTTTGCGCAGGAACCAAATGTTGATTGCATCAAGTAGCTAGGTAAGCCAACTGACCTCCCACAAAATACCCCCAACGCGGGCTATCTAAGCCGAAAACCATAACATAGCCATAGCCAAAAGAAAGAAAGAAAAAGACACAAAAAAGACTCCAATAATTCTCCGATCTGAGAAACCCAGCTGCCACTCCCAATCATTAGCTTGCGGTAGCTATGTTTCAATCTGTTTATCCGGGAAAATAGAATATCATAAAGCTTCATGAAGAATAAAGAATAAGTGGGGAAAAAATAAAAATGATATAAATCAAAAAATAAAAATAAAAAGATAAGGATAAAAGGTGAGGAAAGTGGCGGGCGGCTACCAAACTACATAGTATGCCCATAAAAACCAAAGACCAGGACAACCAAGCTCTTCCTCATTTCAAGTTCCAGTAATTCTCCCTCAACATATCTTTTTTTTCCTTTTCTCTGAAGTGCAAAAAAAGAGGAGAGAGGAATAAGCGCCTGAACAAATAAAACACCACAACCCACAACCTTAAGGGGTATAAAATGAATATGACAATAGAGAAAGAGAAATGGTAATGATGCGCGAAAAAAAAAAAAAAAAAAAAAAAAAAAAAAAAAAAAAAGAGAGAGAGATAATCCACGTACATGTCTGTATGCAACATAGAAAAGTAGATAGTAGTGAAAAGGCAACTGATAAATGTATTAATCAGTGGTCAACCATTTCAGGAAAACGGAGTGCAATATTGTTGGGGGGGAGGTAAGCAAGCAGCTCCAAGATCAAGCAAACTGGTATGCATGATAAGATGGAAGAAAAAGAAGAAACTGGAGAGACGGATAGGAAGCAAACAGCAACTTAAATGCTCAATATCACTAAGTGCTGATGCATCTTCAAATCCTGATATTGTTCGGGTAGGATATCAAGCGAAGCAGAATCACTCTGGCAGAACATGAATATCACTTGACACGTTCACTTAGGTATTCATCTTAGCGCAAATTGCATGCAACAGAGGTTGGAAATCAATTTGTTATTTATATCAATATCCAAAGGACCTCGTCGGGGACAGGGGAGACTGGAAAACCCAAATAGCATTAACCCTTCACCGGGGGGAAGCGGACGCGATAGCAGGCGTGGAAGGTCCGCGATGATGGGATATGGGGGCCTTGCCTTGAATACTGGGCGGAGCAGACGTCCCCTTGGACAGGATTGTCATCTTCTTTCGCAGCTCATTGAGGCGTGTGCGGATGCTAACGACAACTGAATATTTGAGAGACAGTAGGTTAGCATATATGGGCACATCATATGACATCAGGTTTCATATCGCGCAGAGACCAGCAAACTCAAGCGGAAATAATTCCAAATATATATATAGAGAGCTCGACTCACGTTTAGCCACAACCTGACGTTCCTCCACCTGAACCCCATTAGTAAGCACTTTATCCCGATCTGCCGCATCCGCCTTGTCTCCTTGTCCAGATTTCCTCGCCAGCACCTCCTCGTCATTTTCCAAGACTGCTTCCAACATCCTAATCGCAGTGACATAGGCAATTTCGCACCCGGGTAAATCATCTCCAGTAAGTTCATTTATTGCCGCAATCCTACTCATCTCCAACGCTCTGTCATACATCAACTTCTCGGCAGTTATCCCAGAGCTCACGACAATCTGGTCGACGGAGGTCCTTAGTCTCAGGTCTGTATCTGATTCATATGTGTTGTTATTGTTCCTTGGATGTGAAGGGTGGCCGACAGGTATTCGCTTCTGACCCTCCGCTAGTTTCAGTCGGACAAACTCCGCCTTCTCCAACACCTCATTGAACCGATTGCGAACCCACTGCACCACGTTATTCACCCGGTTCCCAACTGCAGGGGTTGCGTTGCCACCACTACCAGACCCCGACCCGACCGATGAACTATCGCCAATGACTTCTCCAGCATTTTTGCGAGCCCACCATGCACCAGCGATATCCATCGACTTCGCAAGCAAAGAAAGCGCCTTCACGTAGAGTACAAGTGCTTCTTCAGATAGTGTCACAACTGCATCAACGGTTAGCCCGCCATCCATCGACTGGGACGGGTCAACTTCCATATCCGTGGAAGTGATGGCATCGGGGTGAATAGCTGTATCCGATTGCATGGATGGAGCCAACGGTATCAGCTGTTTGTACTTGACTTCAGCAAATCCATAAACAACATCGCTCCGCGTTGCACATTCTTCAATAACCTGGACTGTCTTCGTGTCTTCGTCTAATGCAAGCTGTGTCTTCGTTCCATCGCCAACAATGACAAGATTACCTTGGGATAGTGGGTAGGCGGGGAAAGGGCTGTAGGACGGGGTCGGTGAGCGCCCACCCTTCGTAAAAGCTAGCGGAGGAGAAAACCCAACCCCAAACAATCGTCCGCTAGCCATATTTAGCGCTTTCGAAATTGCAGAAGTCGCCGAGGTAGTGCTAGTGCCGTATCTCCGGTCGTATGGGCCCTGTCGTTGGTGGCTGGAATCTGCCCGGGGTTTACCAGTAACCATTTGTAACGCTCGAGCTGGAGCACCTTGTGACGTACTGGGGGAGTGAGAGGCTGTGGCCGCACGACGAGCAATAGTCCCCCCTACCTGGCGTAACGGAATTTGACTCTGTTGCTGAATGCGTGGGCTCGCAGCAAGCTCATCTGCAAATGCATTCACCTCCACCGCTCTTTTTTCTACTATGATATAGTCACGCTCAAAAGCCACATCCTGAGCAGCGCGTTCCCGTTCCCGTTCCCGTTCGGCATCTTTGTCAAATGCAGGTTGCGGAGGTGTCCCATGCTCTACCACATTTTCTTTGAATAAAGATGACCCGGGCGAAGATGTATTCCTGCTTCGTTGCTGTTCCATTGCATAAGCTGCAGCAGTGTGTTCGCCAGAATCAGGCTGTCGAGGAGAAGATGGCTGAGAGGCCATGTTTTGCTGTCGCCCTGTTACAACTACCTTTTGTAGATCTGGTATGTCGCGCCTTCCAACTCGGCGTACGGCCGTGGGTGGACGAGAAAAGTTCCCCGATACTGGACGTGGAGTTGTTGGTCGTTGATCCTCAATTTGGGGCGAAGAACGGCGGCCAGACGGTGATGAGTAGCCTGTATCCTGGGCAGCATTGCTGTCTCGGTCTTGCCGAATTGAACGCAACCTTTGTATTTGTAACTCATCCGCAGAGCTTATTTCATGAGAGTGATGTCTGCCCTCCATCACCAAGCCAGGAATATCCCCTTTAATGAGCGATGACTCAAAGAAATCATGAAAACCCATCCTTTCAACCGGATTCCGTTTGAGCAGATGTCTTATTGTCTTTTTCATGGTTTCGGATGCTTCGCAATGTTCAGGAAACTTGATTCGATCATTGGCCTTTTCAATTTTTTGCAGTAATTCCACGTGGTTCGTAGCTCTGAAATACGGCTTCCCAACCACCATTTCATACAAGACCGTTCCCACAGACCACAAATCGGCTTTAGCATCATACTTCTCGTACCTTAGGATTTCTGGAGCCATATACAGGGGCGAACCGCAAAGAGTATCGGCCAGAGAAGTTGAAGGAAGTGAGCGGGCAAAGCCAAAGTCTGCCAGTTTGAGCAGGGGCATGGAGTCCAAACCCGCTAGCGGAGTGAATAGATCCCCATTTCCTTTGTATGGAGGAATCCGGTAATCACCCTTGGCGATGGATTGGGGTGAAGGATTAAGCAAAAGGTTTTGAGGCTTTACATCGCGATGGACTAGATCCCTAGATCGGAGGAAATGGAGAGCACTCGCAAGTTGTTTCAGAAAATGGCGGACAATAACTTCATTTAAGCCACCACTCTGTGGATTCGGGTATCTCAGTATCAAATCACGGGTCAATTGGTGCCTCACAAGGGAGTCACGCTTTTTGATAAATATCGAGAGATCTCCAAGGACGCAGTATTCCATCACCAAGTGGATCTCATGGGATGTCTCTTGGCAGTCCAGAAGCATCACAATATGAGGGTGGTGGACAGCCTTGAGGATGTTGATTTCCAATTTCAAGTTATCCTTAAGTTTCTTGTTTAGTCTGGCCATGTTCACAGACTTTATGGCAACCAGAGTTTGATTTCTCTGTATTTAATATATCAGCATAATAAACACATTAAACATATCCCTGGAACATCCTAGGGTTTAATATATTCAAAACCTGAGGATGAATGGAAATAAGAGACCTGGCACAACAGGCTACTCACGTAATGGACCCCCTGGTAAACTGTGGCAAAACTACCGCGGCCAATCTCTTCGAGACGAGTGTAGCTCCCCACCTGTACCGGGATGACATCTAAGTCTTTGCGTCGTCTGGATGGTAGCGGCCTGGACGTTGGAGTTGCATCTTTTGGGGAGTCCATGATGGGCATAGCCTCAAAGGGTTCGATCTCCCGGAAACGATCACGACCTCGACAACGGTATAAAAATGGACTGCTTGGACCGGGGTCCCATCAGGAGCGGTTCGAGCAGCAAATACTGAAATGAAACGTGAGGGAGGGTATTGATATGATAAGGCAGGGTGGTTGACGATCGGTGAGTGCTCGGGAGTGAGTTGATATTATTTGGGAAACTAATTTTAGTACGTCACGCACAGCCAACCCACGGGATATGTGTGATACAAAACACAACTATTTCGATTTTCAGGCACGAAAGAACAATGTCGAAGTGTTGGTTCTTTCGTCAAGGCTTCGTCGTCGTTCAGGGTTGTTGAGCTCGGGTGGAGATGAGGTCACCGGACTGCCGGGAGTATAGGCAAGTGTAGATAACCTTGTGTACAGGAGACAACTTGGTTAAGCGGAGAGAAGCGGAGAGGAGACGATAAATAGCCCGCTACTCAAAGAAATCCAAGGGAGCAGCAGTCCAAGTAGATGATATGAAGGAAACGACAGAAACGCTGTTCAAGGAGGTTTGAAGGGAGGTTGAAGGAAGATTCGCCGGGTACCTGGAGATGACTGGAGTGAGCTCTAGGCCGTGGAAGCTAGGCTGGGGTTGGTGATTGGCCAGCAGAAAACAAGGCGGCTTGCAGCAGATGAGACGAAACAACACACGGGGGTAATGGCAATTTATTTATTTTTATTTTATTTTTAATTTAATTATTTTTATTTTTAATATTTTAACAAATATTTCTTCATGTTCATTTTTATTTCTTCTTGTCGTTGTAAGGGCTGGCTGCCTTTAATTTCATCGAGACAGCAAAAGTGTAGATAACGTACGGGATAAGCAGCTCGTAGCTCTCACCAGATAACTAGTTAGTGGATAACCAACTGGTAAGAATTCCTTCCCGGGAATAGAATAGGGACGATATAGAGGGAAGCAATTTAAAGAGGAATCGTTAGAAAAACGTAGAAAAACGTAGAGGAGAAAGCATATATATTAAAGGAGGATGGATGATAAAAAGAGGATGGGCTAGGAGGCTAGGGAGTCACTGGACTGAGCCACAGCAAGAGAGATAGGAAGGGGGAGGAGACGGAGAGTCGATACTCGCTCGAGACGGTGGAATAGATTGAGATTATAGAGACGGAGGAAGGACGAGGAGGAGGAGGAAGATGAAGAAGAAAAGAAAAGAAAAGAAAAGACACGGGAGACGAGTGAGATGTGGGATGCATGGATGCAGCCGACGTTGTCACCTCACTGCTGTGAAGAGGAACGGTGAATTGGGGGACATGGGGTAACCAGTACCTTACTTACTGTCCGCTGCCTCTGCAAAGTCTAGGTACTCGAAACCTCCGGACAAAGCAGCCTCCCGATGATGAAACAAATCCCGGAAAGTATCAAATACCTAGCGCACCTGTGTCCATGCACACTGGTAACAGGTACCAGTGACCTCCCAACACATCACCGCTGGCACATGACGCCACACCGAATCCGGAAAAATAGATCATCCGTCGGGCCTTGGCATTTCCCCAACTATTATCGGTTCTCCCGGGCCCAGCCAAACAAAGAGTCCATGCGGGAAGCGGTGCCACAAGGTCTCACAGTAACCTGATCGGCATCAGAACACCCGGGGACCTCTCCCTCTCTTCCCTCCTCCCCCTCCTCTCCCTCCTCTCCTCTCCTCCCCACGTATTAATAGGGCACACCAGGACGCAACCAGTGCGCTCAAAAGGCACTTCTACGCAAGACTCAATATCATGTTGCCTGGTCAACGTAGGATTTCTGCATATTCCGCTCTAACCAAAACCCGCCCTCTCGTCAGATGCCATGTCATGCACATGTCATGTTGCTTCGACCTAGAGTCAGGCTTTGCTTTGCCAAAACCGACATATGCCTGCCTGTAGTTACCTAGGTGCCTGGGGTTAACTCGGTCAACGCCTCTTACCCATAGCAGTATAGTCAGCCATCAGCCTCCCTGCCACTAACATTTCGCTAGTAGTTAACTGCTTGCTCCTTGCTAGCACTCGACGGAACTGTCAACAATATATATATATATATATATATATCTCCAGTCATGTATGTCCGTTGTATTCATGTCAATAATCAATCCATTCTCGCTGCCTCATTCCTTGGGCGAGGCCGAGAACTTGATCATGTGACCCAAATGCGCCTTCAATTTACTTAGACTTCACGTAAAGAAATTCATATGCAACAGAAGACTTTCAATTGTGTCAAACTGGAACTAGGTGGATATCAAGATCTTCATGAGGTATGTGTGAGACAGATGTGAAGCCAAGAATAGAAGAAGCATCATTCTACAAATCTGAATATCTCTTTCACTCAATTCTATTTCTTAATACTTGTATCAGTGAAGACAAAATAGATTTATACTGAGATTTACAGATATGATGCGTAAACTTGAGTGCTTAGCTGTTCAATACTGCATGTTTTATCTTTCGTTAAATTACTCTTTTGTTCTTCTGTGGTAATTCATAATGCACTTCTCTCATATTGTTTTCTCATATCGTTTCTCTGCACACATTGTATGTATATTGTACCTATTGCTAAGATTTAGGAATGAGAGATTTCTACATTCAGAATTGACAATAGACTAGATAGAGACCATGAGATAGGCAACTTTATGCGAACTTGAAATTCCTCATCTCAAAATATTTCTCTTCTTTTAGTTAAGGGTAAAATAACAAATAAATAATAAGAGTGGAAAGGCCTGCAGGTCTAGATTTCCAGATCGCTCAGTGTTCATGTCTTGCAGCGGGGAGTCTATTCCACTTCAAAAACTATGGTGAGATGTCCATGGGCAGATAGATATACTGCCTCCCACCAACTGCACCATTTATAATCCATTGTCCAAGCAATATCCGTGTCCAAATCACTTCAGAAAACCTCAAGCTCATGAAAACGAAACCAGCTTTGTAGTAATTCACTGTCGATGAGAAGAAGCAACCTTTCCTTGAGCAAGCTCTCAGTTGACTCAGTTGAAACCAGTCAAGTAGAGTGTTGCCTCCCACTGCTATGTGATGCCATAGAGACACCTGGATATGGATATATATGCACGTATTCCGCCGTATATAGTGGTTAAAATGGGAACAAGCTTCGAAGGTTCGCATTCGGGTTTCTGTAATCCCTCTCCTGAGGGTCCTGCCAATACCTCTCCCGGCAACGGAGAAGTGCCCTTATCGCATGTTTCGGACCAGAAGTAACAAGAGTCACACTCGGTATATTCCAAGAAGTTGTTACGGTCATTTGCCCTTCTTCGCGAACACCAAGGACCCGAACTCTCTCATCTCTTAACCCCGTTTCGTATTTTTTAGAGACATATTGAAAGAATCCACATAAATCCCCCTTATGAACTCGTTCATATTCAGCAAGAGTCGCATCGTAATACTCAAGGCAGAGACGTTCGCGATTCCTGCGTAGATCATAATCAAGAATATCTGCCAAATCAGGTGCCACCCAATCCCACAACTCCTGATCATCTAAATACGTCCATTCCCCTTGGTCTCCTGCCTCCTCAACACCAGGAAACCAAAATTTATGTGCCCACCGCAAATTTTGCTGTATCAATAACAGCTCTCGAATGCCAGAAAACAACCTCAGCGCCCCAGAAGTAAGAGCAATCCCACATTCATCTGATGGATCAAACGTATCCTGTATCGCAAGACGCCTCACCCTCCTCAGATCATCCGGAAGAAACTGCCCAATATTCCACGGGCAACCATCTAATACACCACACGAGTCATCGTACCCGCGCGAAAGAAGACACAACACATCATAGCAGTAACAAAACCACACGCGCGGTCCACTCGTGCGTGTTCGGAAAGTAAGCTCATATCCATAATCTATTAGTACCTGTCGCGATTCGGTGCATGTATGGAGCAAAGGGGGGATGGGCGTTCTGCTACGGAAATGGCTCTCGCGCGTGAAATGCCATGCTAACGCAGGCCGTTCAGCAAGCCAATGGGCTGGTATCTCTGGGACATCAGCAGTTGGGGTCCATGGTTGGTATGGCTTTTTGCTGCTCATGAAGCCATATGAATCTAGCGTTGTCTGTAAAGATTTGCTGCGTCTGGCGTTGTAGGTGTTAAAATTCCAAGCTTCGCGGGGCGGCTTGTTGACCCGGACCCTTTGGCACCAGTTATGCGCGAAGTAGGCCAGGCTTGGGTGTATTGTGAGATTTCCAGGTATGGGTACTCGAGTGTCGAACGACTCGCAGAAGTCCCCATAGGAGTCACTATCCGGCTTGGGGTATTCGTTGACAAACACGTAACGTGGCGGGGTTGCTAGGAGATAGATGATCCGGCGGATTTCAGGTGGGAAACGGGGAAATGGATAGAAGGTTTCGAATGAAGACATGCTTTTCTCATCAGATTGCAATGGTCTCCACCATTTGATACTAATAGACATGTGGAGTTTTATAGCCACAATCTATAGTGGAGCTCGTGGCTACTAACTTCCAGTTAGAAGAACTAGACGAGAGGTAATTTTTTTTGACTGTAATACCACACAAGGTATCAATCACGGGTTGTTCATGCAAGACACACGTTTCCCATGTTTCTGTTGCGTCGATTCTATCAACGAGTGAAGTTGGCAGGGGCTTGGAATCAGAGAATGACTATCAGTCAAGAGGAAGACCATAATTGCATAAATCCAGGCGAAGAAGTTAGTGATCTTCTTTGAGGCTATAGGGAAAAGGTTGCAGTGAACATCTCGAACTCTAGCATGGAGGAGTTCAAGCACCTTTTTGTAATCGACCTTGAGGGTTCGTTGTGTGGATTGGCGGGCGTCGTCAGCCTCGCAATGTCGCTAGTGCCAGTCACAGCTGACAAGGTCACCTCTTTTTATCTCAATGCTTGTAAAAAGATTGAACCAACCACGGAATGTGGTTCAGATTAAAACATGAACTCCACGCCAAGATGGCGACGGAAAACAAATGCCATGTCCCCTTTTGCAGATTCGGGAAATCTATGAACATTAAAGGATATTTCCAACGGATTCAGGAAAGCATGAAACTAGTAGTGTTTCCAGGTATAAACCCGTTTCAAATCCTTGAAAATGATATAGAATCCAAAGAGAGAAGACCCGCATGTGTTTTGCATATGAATTGTTCCCTTTTTCTTAGATATTCAGATGGGTTAGGAAAAGCACAAAGTGGAAATGAAACAGAGGGGTCCATTATTACTATACAGGGTGTGAAATATCCCATTCGAGCAAAAGGATGAGAAATTGTTCCCCGTAAAACGTGGCTGGTAGGAAGGAATAAATATATATATGTATGGCAATTGTAGCAAAAGATCACTGTCCACCAGCAGAAGATATTAGAACAGGTCAGGGCAAAAAGAAGAGAACAGTTTCTATAGCCCCAATCCTCTTACAAGCAGCCACAAGACCAATGGCACCACAACATTATCGTTCCCACCCGTCAACACCGCTTCCATGAAACTAGACCCAAGCGCGGCAAGGAGAGATTTTCCGACAATGGTAGCCCACCCCTCCGACATCGCCATCCTCGCCCAGGATGAAGTGATCAACTCAGACATCGACGCAGAAACAGAGCGATCCCAACCGCCAAGTATCAGCCAGATACGTGCCACGAGAATTCCCACAAAGACGACTGCGGCAAAGGCAACGCTTCCCTCGATACTCTTCCCGCCCCCCCAGAACCATCTACGTCGACCATATCGCCGACCAACCAGAGACGCGGCGGCATCGCCCATCCCAACACCTATAATCCCGGTAACCATACTGAGATCGCGGGTCTCCACGTCCCACCCATCCCAGGGCGGGATGCCGCTGCGAGGGATTCCAGCAAGAGAGAGCCAAAGAGGGATGGCGCAGCCAATAAGCAGGAAGATATGAGAAACGATAACTGGGCCGCGATGGTCGCGCCCATCAACGTATGGTGCAAGGAAGTATGTGAGTGGTCTCGAGATGGGTAGTAACTGGGAAGCTCTGAATAGATCGAGGAGCAAAAAAATGGCGAGGATGAGAGTCAAAGCAAGTGCTGTAAATGTAGGGTCGATAAAGGTGGTTGGCAGGAACATCAGGACCATCATCCCATGGAAAACTTTGCGTCGAGTATCTACCTCAACAGTCCCGCTGAGGCGAATCACTAACGCCAATCCTACTACAATAACGAGAACACAATAGAAGGCAATAAGAAGACGAGTATTTGCCTCTCCGAATGTATCTTGTCGGAGATGCTCTACCCAACCCAGACGGCATGACTGGTTTTTGAATTCTTCATCAAGTAAAGGTGGTAATCGCACCCAATTCTCCATATTAGATTTCACAAGCCAAAATCTAAAAGGCGGTATGTTGCCGAAAAGATACCCAATGGCCCACCCAAAGGGGTCATTTCCGTGAAGCGCATTCCGGCCAATATACCTTCTTACAGGCAAGAAAATTATGAACAATGTAACTTCGTAGACGTATAGTGCATAGGCCCACTTTCTTACGTGGGCTTGAGCAAAAGTCAAAGAGGTGAAGGATTGGAGATTCGGTGTCATTAATCGTTTGCGCCGGCCACCAGGCGTGGTCTTAACAGAGTCGTTTGCATCACCATCGTCAAAATTAAAAGATTGGCGACGTTGACGGCCTTTTGTTAATTTCGACTTTCTAGTTGGAGGGCACTCTTGCAGGAAAACGCTGTCGTTGGATTTGACGTTCTCTCCATTGGGAGCTGCGCTAATTCCGGAAACTGCCGCTTGATCGCCACAAGATATGCGATCAAACTCACGCTGTTTCAGTCGATGATGTTTTTGATATTCCTCACCCATGGCGACCGTAAACCGGCTGATGGGGAGGCCACTATCAGTCGAAACCTCTTCAGTGAGGCCGGCACGGCTCATCAGTTTATAGCAGAGCTTTTGATCAAGCATTCTGAAAAAACCCATCGGTCCAGCAGCTCTAGCAGGTGTTCGGCTGAATTTCCAAGATGGCACTCTAGCCAAGACAACCTCCCAATGAAGGACTTGTCGGCATAAAATGAGCATATAAATCCCGCCAACCCACAGTAATGCCTTGAGTATTTCCGCTTGGGGGGATTGGGTAAAAAGCAGAATATTGATGAGGCCTGTAGCAAGGAGTTGCAATTCGGTAGGTAACAGGCTGGTTGTGAAAAGAAAGTTCAATGTTGTAACAAGCGCTTGATGCAGAGGAAATATCAGGAGGAGAAGCTCTGGATTCAAGTCGCGAAGGCCTATTGGGCTCCGTGTAGAGATATCCGAAGTGATAATTGGGAAAGCAGCGATGGCCCAATGTGTAAGGACACATCCATGAAGCAAATCATGGCGAGGTATCATAGGCAAGGGTATTGAGGAAAGACCAAGAATTATATTCGGGAGTATTAGGTTCTGGCGATTGTTGACCAGCGACAACGCGATCAGGACAGGGAGAAGAACAGGGTATATCAGAGGCGCAGGGTCGAGATCAGTCGAGAATGGAAAGAAGGCAATAGACTTCCAGCTGTGCCTTCGGAAACCGGCCATAAATATTCGAAACGGGTATGATAAGTAGAGTCCAAGTATAATAATCGAAAAGATCGATAGCTCTATATCGCCAAAGTTCAACATATCAGCATCTAACACCTATTAGTAGGTAGGAATAAGAACATACCCCTATCCCAATCTCTGGTAGCAAATCTCACGTAATTCCCAAAATATACCGTTGCGCCTACAACAAGCACCAGCGTTGTTTCTGACAATCTTCGTAGAGCTTCAACCCGCCTGCCCGCTTGCCACCGGGCATCTACTTCATCAGTATCTATGCCTTGACCTATTTCCTTCTTTGAAGTCTCTAATCTCGACCTCCTGAATGAAGACCATATCCGTGCACCTGCTGATCCCCCACGCTTTTCTTGGACATTTCCTGGTTTAACTCCCAGGATCTGCCTGGACCGTATCTGAGGCGCAGGTAAGCCTTTCAGAAATCCTGTGCCCTCGTTGTCTGCCTCCGTCCCGCTATCGCTAGAAGATATGGGCGATCTTCTCGACGGAAAGGTATCGCTGCCATCTTCATCATGACCTATGAAAGTCGCACCAGGAGCGACGGGGCGAAATGCGCGGCGATGGTAAGGATGGGGGGATCTAGAAAGTTGCCGATACCGCGCATCCTGCGACGAAACAGCCATATGGGAGGCTTCGTTGTTTTCATTGTTGCCTCCGTGGGCGTTCTGGGCTGCCATAGCATTCTGTTCCTGTTTTGCGTTCAGGAATTACCGTTGGGATTAACTTCTCTTCATAGTCGAATATTACTCGAAATGACGTCCAGGAAGATCGTGGCGCCTGGTAAAAAGGTGCCGAATAATACACAGCCCGAATACCGTTCGTCGTCGATACTGTTCGTGTCAATGGGTCGCGTTGTTCGTGGTGGACGGAAAAGGTCCACTAAAGATTGCGGACTTTTTTTACGAGAAAAAGCGCAGGTGGACGTTGTTTGTTGCCGCGGTTTCTGCACTGCGTGTCTGATCACATGTGGTTAATCGATTAAACCTGTTGTTATCCATGGATATTTCTCTTGCCTGCTCTAGAAATACATTATCATTTAATTCAATGACGTTCTTAATGCATAGACCAATTGATATTGTCAATGTCATAAATATGATAAAGCTAATGTGGATATACCTGTAGGTATTTATTTATTCATTCTCTCCAGCCCAGTACGCCAACTTCCACCCCCGCAAAGATAGGAGTTTTTTAGACAAATACAATGGGAGAAGTAGACAAAATCAAGGAAAGAATACAATATCAATAATAAACTTTCACTTCAATCGCACATGAACCACAATCCCAGCTTCCAGCTTCTTCCCCCGCTGGCCCCAGAGAGACTTGCATGGCACAATTTGCCCCTGTTGCCAGACACCCTCACTCAAACTGTGAGAAGTATATATCGTAAAATTAATATGATCAATATTCCCACTCTGGGTATCATTCTCTCTTGCTTTTACAGCATCCATTGCATCCTGCACGCGCCCTTCCAAATCTCGATCGGGTTGGTCGCCGCTTTGGATTCCAATATAATAGAACGACCCGAATCCCGTACCTTGTAAATGACTTATTATCCAATGCTTCCCCGGCTGTGTTTTCTCATACATGGCGAGCGTATCAGTCCTTGTCCCCAAACCTTGCCACTCAATATCACTTGCACGAGGCAGAGCGTCTACCTGAACTGCAAAAAAAGGCGGGGTGAAGATAGATCTCCTGACAATATCAAAATTTGGTAGGTTCTTCTTCGTTCCATTCGACGAGGAGTGCCCTAGATCCCGATGGTTTCCATATTTAAGATCCCAGGCATCGAATTCTGGCGCATTATCTTCGCCATCTTCTTTGTCATCACCAGTGTTCGAAGAAGAGGGGCCACGGTTCATATGTTCCCATATATCCCACGCAACCTTAGCCTTGGAAGGA